GAGAATAGAAGTGTCCAGGAGAGAGGGCTCTAAAGAAAACAAATGGAATGGCTGGATTATCTGATATAAGTGGTCTTGTGGAGGGTTAGCAAGAAGTTGGTCAAGGGCCACAAAGACTGATTACATTTTGTAAACATGAGTATACTAATTTTCCTGATTTGACATATTGAACACAGGTATTAATATTCAAACTTGTACCCCACAAATGTGTATAATCAATTATGTTTCAATAAAAACAACTCTCAAAAAAAAAAAAGAAAATTGTACTGAGACACTATGGGAAGATATGGGAAAAATTAGCAATAAATTAGAAAACAAAAAAATTTTAAAAATCAAGGCATATTTTACCACTGGAAAAAAAAAATAGGAAGGCCATTGAAAACAAAGGAGGTCTGAGAAACTGTCACAACCTAGGGGAGCAGAGGGAGACAAGATGACTAAATGTACCATGGAAGGGATCCTCGAAGAAAAAAAGGATGTGAGACAAAAACTAAGGAAAACTGAACAAACTATGTCTTAAGTTAATAATAATACATCGATATTGGTTCATTAATTGTAACAAATGGACTATACTAATGTAAGATGTTAATAGAAAAAACTGAGTGCAAGATATGTGGGAACTCTATTTGTACTACCTTCATAATTTTTCTGTAAATCTAAAACTGTTCTAAAAAACACAGTTCATTTTTTAAAAAGGTATAAAACCATGATTAAATATACTACAACTTCCAGCTGTGAACAATATTTGTATAGGAACAATAATGCAAATATTGAATACTGACTTAACCAAATATGTAACGAGACTACATTGGAAAGGTGGGGTCAAGTGTGCAAAGCAGAGATGGCAGATGAGTAGCTGAGATCTAAAACTGATGATTGATAGCTGTATGTGCCTGTTATTTAGAACTATGGAGGTATGCAATGGCAGAAGAAACAGGTAAGAGTAGAAAGAGGTTACCTCTGAAGAAAAGGATTGGGGAAACTCGGTACATGTGAGGCACAGAATCACTATATTTGGTTACTTAGCCTTTTCAATGCTAGTTTAGTTTTCAGATTTTGTGCCAGTATTAGTTGGATAAGAAAAACACTAATTAAAAATTAAAAATAAAAATAAAATAGGGCAAATATATTCCATGACAATCTTAAAATAGGAAAATGAAGTATTCAAAATGAAAAAGAGGGGTGATATGAAACCACATATAAATGTTTCCCAAATTCTTTCCTTGCTGAAATCTCGGAAGCATGCTCAGAGGACATTGTCACTAGTAACCAGAACCAGTAAAGCAGAACAACAGAGTGTACGGGGCAATATCAGCAGACATTAAATTAAGAACCTGTATATTTTGCCATTTGGGAGTTCAAGGGAAAGCACTAGGTAAACTGTTGCTGAGAAACTTTAACTACTTTCAAATGTCCACATTTAAAATCACTACACTTCATGAATAATGTAAATAATTTTTGCACATTCTTCTAAACACAGAATTTGGAAGGACTATATTATTACAAGTTATTTGCTGTTTGACTTTAAAATCACTTGCAAGTATCCTGAAAGTGCTTATGAATAATCGTAGAAGCTCTTCCTTTTCCCTTGTGTCATTGCCATGCACTATAGAAACCAAATAAGCAGTAAGAATTGCCACAGTATCAAGTTAGCAGCTTCCATTTCTAGGGCACCTTTGTCCTGTCTCCTCCCGAAAGCAGGAGTGACAGTGCATGCTACCTCTTCCGCCGGGATCCCTGCTAGAATGTAAGCTCGGTGAGAGCAGAGGCTGTTTTGTTCACTGCTGTGGGCCTAGGATTTACAACAGTGCTTGGAACAAAATAGTCATCCGATAAATAGCTGTTGGCTGAGTAAGTAAAACTTAATTCACTGAAGACCAATTGTCTACTAAATAAGTATTATTCTACTGTGTGGTGGAATTCGATAAATTCTACAGAACTCTACTGCCACATGGGTTGTATAGAAATAAACATCAGACCCTTCTTCAGAAAACAGCTCTTTGATCTAAAGGATTAGGCTATAAATGTGTTAAGGGTGAGAACCACATGCTTATCTTTTGTCTCCAGTGCCAAGCCCAGAGCCTGACACAAAATAAATGTTTGTAAAATGAATTGCTGACAAGATTTTATATTGAGTGACTACTAAAACAGTGGCA